TTTAATGCCTTAATTTAATTTAATATGTGCTGATACATAGTTTTTCCGAGTCTACCCTACTATATTTTGATATTGGTCAACACGTATATGAGATGTGCGTGTTTCATGTAGAGGAGGTATAAAATAAGAGATTCATGTTTGTTATTCTGACTAGGTATATGTCGATATATACAGCATTGTGTATATGATAGGATATTAGCTGAGAAACACACGTGGTATTAGCGTGGAAATGTAGCTGAAGGAAACGGTACGGCAGTCTATAGCAATTACGGTTTTTCTATCCTCCTTTCAGAACGTTCATTAATTCCGTTTTAGGTCTGTATCAATGTTCTGTACCTAGCTTTGTATCTATAAGAGAAAGCTTGTATGTGTTAAATTATGATGAAAGGAATAGTAAGTATGTACACTTTATTTCGGTGAGCGACGCTTCTAACGCATCCATGTATGGGCATAGTAAATGACTTCTAGCAGGATTTGATTTGTAAGTGCTTGCGTATTAAGTCCGTGCCATTTCTCAATCTGCACGGGTTCAACTCTATACACGCCGACTGTCTACTTCACTCCACAGATACAATCAAATGTGTCGGGTGGCACAAATTCCATCGGTTTTGTCGAACCCCACACCCGAACACTACCGACAGCAATTGACGTCAAGGGCCGATCATTCAGGCCGCCTAATCTGGCAACCGGATAATTGCATAGATGATACAGAGCTGGCTAAATACTTAGAAGCGGCTCTCCCAACACTCAGAGTGGGCCGTACTGGATTTAATCTTCCCACACCACGAGATCTCCAGATCACTACAATACTAGCCACCCTCACGCTTAATGGGTGTGATGTAGATAAGGTTTGTCTACAATTTCAATCGGTATATTTATGACTGGCATGTGCTCCGAGATAGTATTCTGTCTAGAGTTGAGAATGACCTCGATATTGTACTTCTGCTATCGATTCGTACCTATTGGGCCCGGAATAATTATTCCTACTCTATTGACTGATGTGCATCCGTCAATGTAAATTAAAATGTACGTGTAGAGTATCCACGAACGACACGACCGAAATCTATATCAGAATGTATATCCTCAAAGTTCTCATGTTTCTCTTCGTGTGAATTTATACGAAGGTCAAGTTGCTGATTGAATCTCGTCTGTCATTCAAAATCTGGGAATAATCTCGTTGCTCCACTGGTGGCAGTCGACAGGAATACGTTGATTCTGTATTCTGGAGCTGTTCTGCACTGGCGCATTTCATTTTTTTATGTTCTGTGTCGATTCCCGCGGATGATACTGATTGATTTGCTTGCTCTGCTGTTATTTTTAGGCAAAAGAGGAATTACAAAAGAACGCCCCAAGGACCCTTGCGTGGTCGAACTCCGATATAGTCAATTTTGAGATCGAACTCGTACAACACGGGAAGGATTTCGAGCGATTTAAGGTAGGGAATTACTTATCCAAGCTACAATTTTATCCAGAGATTTCTCTCCATTCCATGTCTCTAAAACTCTTCAAAGTAGAGCTTACTTTAGCCACGCTCAGGTTGCAGATTTAGCGGTCACTTTCACTGTCCCACGTTCACTTGAGTCGATTTTCAACGCGAAACTATCCACCACCAGCAAGCTTGGTTAGTATTGCGTTTCTCGTCTGACAATACATCCACTTATACTCCACATATACTTTATAGATTGCGGGTAGAAGCTATAACGAGATTATCAACTTCTACTTCCAGGTAAGTGCGATGGGTATAATCTAACCATTGCAACCAATGCTCTGTATGAAGTTAGCGAACAGTGACCATGCCCAAAGTATTTTGATAGGATACTTTTTATTGCTGGGTACGAAGAGGGAATGTATGGCTTGTACCTGAATTAGAATTGGCCCAACTGATTCACTTCATACCCGCCCCACAGTGGATGCGATCGCCGAGATGTCGATCATTTGTAAATACCTTCATGGATGTGTGGTACAGGTCGAATTGCGGTCCCATCCACGACTGCAACGAAGTGATAATGTATGTTATGCAAGTTAATGGTCGATGCACCCTTTGTGTTTGAGTCTCCTTTTTGGTTTGCTGCCGTGAGGTTCTGTTCAGTAAGCGTAATGTCTTCCATACTCTTATTCAATTCGTAAAAGTTACACTAATGACTGTACCACGCCCGTAGTAATTGGAAGAGACAAATAGGTCTATTCCGTGTAGCGGCAGTCTTGGACAGGCGGAAGCGTGGAACTCGCTGGGAATATAAGGTACTTAGATTATCACTACGACCAATTCGTGTGTCTCAGCCTTTGTATTGTCAGTCTCGTTTTCAGTATTCATATATTAACGAAATTACCGCACGAGCTCATGTGGATCGTTGAAGTTCCGAACAATGGCGACTCCTCAGAAGCGTTTGTACGGATGTGAGCTGCATCGACCAGTTTTAATATCAGCAACTGTGCTTGAACCCGCGTTACAACAAATACTTATGGGTTGGAGATCAATAGTCACATGATTTGAAATCCTGTTTCATATAGTCATGTGATTTGTGATTTGAATCTTGTCTCTTATTTGTTTCAGCACGTTCGTTTTATTCGTCCTAATCTCTGCCATGTGGGCTGCTGTTGTCTCCGTAGGTTCGATGGGAAGACACCGACGTGGAAACGTGGGAAGACAAGGACAGCAAAGGGCTCAGAACTAGTGAGGCTTTCAGCAAGTATAAGAGGTCTTTGAAAGAGTGAATAAATATGCAAGCAACCCTGTTTTCGTTAGGCTTACATACTTAATGCCGGCTGAATGCTGAGATTTTATCCCTCCCTCAATTCGAGTGCCTTTATTTCGGCGCAGTGTACGAGGTAGGCAATATTACTCGCGACTTTCTTTGTCGTTGTCTATTTGGGCTTACGATGATAGTGCTGGAAAACAGATCTACGTATTACATACGACCACACGATGAGCGCTTTGTTGCGCACATATGATTACCTTCAAAATATTGAAAATGAATTAAATTAGTATCCAAATAACGTTAACTATATCCATATATCACGCTTTGCAATCCTTATGGGTTCCCGAGAGCCAAGGTTTCCAAATAAACACCATTGAATGTAGTTTATGGCACGGCCACAACAGAAATAGATGCAAAGAGGTCAGAGCATACCTTCGAAATAGATGCAAAGAGGTTGGGGCCTATCTGATCGACGAACGCGAGAGAATAAATTATCATATACAAACGTGAGCGACCAACCTATCGACTTATTACACGGGTGAGTTTTATCTGTAGTCTAGAACTGCAACAAGAGTATTTACTATCAATCACTACTTATGAAATACTGAAAGCTAAGGTCTGAATGGCCAAACGACTTGTATGCTATTTTGTTATTTTATAGCCATTTTATTGAGGCGAAACTGCACGATGAAGTACTATTTATTATGCAGGACTGCAAGACGATGTGTATGACGACCATCTTCACCAATAGTTGGCGTCATTGAAAGCTATTATTATCGAGGTGTGTCCTATATATATATCTTCAAGATGGCTATATATACAGTAAGATGACTCTGTATACGGTATGAGCCAGTCTACACGCCTACAAGGAACTACAACTTTTGTTTCTTTTTCTTGTTATTATTGAGATAAACCCCGCACGAAGCGGCGTGTTAAAAATTGACCAGGGCCGTTAGGCACCTGATACTGGAATGGATTGATTGTTTTCAAATAGCGAATAAACAGACCTCAGGAGACCTTCATGGATACTGTTATTGCACTCTGCACAAAAGATAACGAGCTTTGGTGTTGTCGGAGTCCTATTTATACGTTATTCGCCGTAGTTCATTGTTGTGGTCTGTATTTGGTTGTTTACGAATTACAAACACGTATAAACCAATGGGATCTTCTCACGTTGACTACCGTTTTACACCGCTACAGCCTCGCTCTCGAGTCTCGACTCTCGAGTCTAACTACTACAATTAACCCCAACCCAATCCGTTTAAAAAACTTACACTTTTTTAAGTGAATGTAAACGCTCAATCTATTTTTTTTCTACAAAAAAATGTAATAGGCCGCTGCGAAAAGTGGTTACAATACTAAGCGACACCTTAGGCAATATAATGTCAGGGCTCCGAACATGCACCCAAAACTATCAAAATAGGGCCAACACGAACGTATATTTCAAATTCTATACGTTTTTACATAGAGCCAACTGGGGACCTCGAAATGTGCTAGTGTGTTATTGACTCATTGAGTTTCAAAAATTGGCGAAATTTGAATTTTTTTAGTCAATATTATTGGTTGACGAGGGCAAAAATCCGTCATCACTTTACGGGAAATCCTTCAGAAGTTGATATTAATATATGTGAAAAGAGATCTGTCATTTTATCATAATAAACTCTAACTTGTACCGTAAATCGATGTATCCCACCTCTCTAAGGATACAACTACTACTAGAGTGTGAATGGCAGCAACATAACAACTAATGTAATATAAGTTTGATTAGCTTCTGATAGATCATATCACCATTTTATTGCACGTGGGTTGTAAAAAATCACTCGAAGCGTATAAAGTACAGCCTAGTTACTGGATATTGTCCAATACAAGTGTCAAAGAAATCATAAAAGACTCACAAAAGATGTCGACCAAACGAACTGTGACTCCAGGCGGCAAAGGGAAAAAGCGAGCTAAAAATGATGTAAGTATGTGAAGCTCATTCAGTTATAATAGCATTGCACAACAGGTGTGATACTTGTATGAGTACCAATCTCGCATATATATATAAAATATATATATATATATGTATATATATATATATATATATATATATATATATATATATATATATATATATATATATATATATATATATTGTGTGTGTGTGTGTGTGTGTGTG